GGTAGTGACGAGGAAGGTCAGGGCCCTACTGAGATAACATAATAAATAATGAGAAAACAGAAATAGTTTAAATAAAGTCTACAGCGAGAATCTAAACCAGGTATATAAGGAAGAACAGTAATAGAAAGCAAAGGTAACAATACACGGAAAACTGCCCTCACAAGGAATAGTAGCCGGGGGATCTCTTGGTATCCCGAGGATCTCTTGGTATCCTCATCATCAACACTAGGGATCTCTCGGTATCCCGAGGATCTCTTAGTATCCTCAATAAGTAAGTCGGGGATCTCTTGGTATCCCAATATATATATAGAAACACATGTGCCAGGGATCTCTTGGTATCCCGCACCCACAATCCAGAATATCTCAAGTACAGGGGATCTCCTGGGAAGCCGTCCCGTAGTCCCAAATTAAACACACAACAACAACGATTCCTAAATCTCGGAACAATGCTAAAAATCAGGACACGAAGTAGTAAATTATAGCCTAACATGCTTCATAGAGTACAAATAGCACAGTTAAAGCAAATAAGCAGGTAAGCCAGCTAAACATGAGTCTCTAAGCTAGCACAGGTACAAACTTATAGTTAAAATGGACAAGTAAACAAGAAAGCTCAATTTAAATACTTCAAGTAGAAACAGATTTACAACAATTAGCTCAAGTACGCGTTCGTCACCTCACGTACTGGGCATTCAAATATTCAAGATCATATCCTAAGGGAAAAGGTCCCCCACACAAGGTTAGACAAGCCACTTACCTCGAACCGACTCAAAATCAACTAGAAACCACGCCTTTGCCACGAGTATCCGACTCCAAATGGCTCAAATCTATTAAATTCAATTACATATTGTAAATAACATCGCAAACACCTGGTTTTGCTAATAAATTCAAAGCTACGGCGTAAAATTAGGTGAAATGACAAAAATGCCCTCCAGGCCAACACCCCGGAATCGAATAATTTTTACGTTTTCAGAACCCTCGTACTCTCACGAGTCTAACCATATAAAAATCTCCCAAATCGGAGGTCAAATGCCCCCTCAAAACCCCATAGTTAGGTCTAAGAAGTTTACCCACTTCCCATTCAAAAACACGAAATTGAAGGGTGAATTTGCGATTTGGTTAATGGGTTTTAGTCATAGGAGAGTAGAGAATCGTTACCCAGTGATTACCCTTGAAAAACTCCTGAAATTTCTCCCAAATCCGAGCTCCAAACCTTGAGTTTTGATAAAAATGGCAAAACCTCATTTTTGAAATGTTAAGTACTGTTCAGGGGTCTAAAGCATCGCGAACACGAAAGGCAGCACGCGTTCGCGAAGAAGGAAAATATAAAGGGACCTAAAATGCCCTTCGCGATCGCGAAGGAATGGATGCGAACGCGAAGGCCTGGGTTCAGTGAGCTATGCGAACGCGACATAGGTCATGCGAACGCATTAAATGAAAATCAAGCCCAGCCCTTGGAGTCCAATAAGTCTATGTGACACGACAGCCCTGACGCGAACGCGGTTAAGAAACGTGTGAAGCTACGCGATCGCGGAGCACTAATCGCGAACGCAATGAAGAAACTTGTCATCCTCCAGAATTACTCTACGCGAATGCGTAGAGGAGGACGCGAACGCGAAGAAGGAATTGGGACCTGCACAGCTGAAGGATTTTCTGCAACACTTTGAAACACCAAAATGCTCCGTTGAGCATCCGAAACACACCCGAGGCACCCGGGACCTCAACCAAACCTACGGACACGTCCCATAACATCATTCAAACTTGTACCAAACCTTAAACCACCTAAAACAACGCCGGAAACACGAATTAATCAAGGATTCAAGCCTAAGAACTTCAAATTCCAACAAAACACACTTTCGATCAAAAACCTAACCAAACCTTGCCCGAATGACCTGAAATTTTGCACACACATCCCAAATGACATGACAGAGCTACTGCAACTTCCGGAATTCCAATCCGACCCTCGGATCAAAAACTCACTATCGGACCGAAAACTTCAAAAATTCAAACTTCGCCATTTCAAGCCTAAATGAGCTACGAGCCTTTAAAACACATTCCGAACACGCTCCACACCCTGAAATCACCTAACGGAGCTAACGGAACTATCGCATTTCCATTCCGAGGTCGTCTTCACACTGTTCCGATTACGGACCATCTTTCAACACTTAAGCTCTCATTTAGGGACTAAGTGTCCCAAAACACTCCGAATCCTAACACCGAATGTCCCGACATACCAAAATAGCAGAAATGAACTTAGGGGAAGCGGTAAATGGAGAATCGGGGCGTAAATTCCAAAAACGACCGGCCGGGTCGTTACATAATGCTGCAAGCCTTATGTCTTCAAACAACTTCACTTCATAATCCCATAACGACTAGATATCTAATACGTCAAAATTACAACGTTACCATGCTAGAATACAGAATCACTTAGAAATCATGTCTACAGGATCAATAACTTATAACTTGTAGTCTCAATAATGAGCATGCAATATCAGACTCCCTAAACTATGCACCCGTTTAAAAATCACGTCTATTAGATTTTATTTTGTATCTGAAACTGCTGCATGTTTGAAATCCATGTTCACATAGAAATCATGTCTATAGGGCTTAATGGTTTTAACTCGTCTCAATTTTGAAACTTTCAAATGCCCGATGTGTTTGCATGCATTCGTTGTCAAAGTGTGGAGGTTAACTTGAGCCCTTAACTGCTTTTATATAAAGTCTAACATGTTTTGCATGTCGATTAGTTTTATCATTTTGAGCAGCCTAACCGAAGTCTAGAACTACCTAAATAGAGGTCCAAAGCCTCCTGGACCATAGGCATGGGACGGGTAATGCACGCATAGGGCACGGTTTAGAATCAATTAGTGCGCTTTATGTAACAACTTAAAGATAGTAATCGGGTAGAAGGAGATGATAGTCTATGCCCGCTGAATAATATGAGTAAAACCCCATCTTGAGGGAGTTACGAATCATTATTTATGTTGCACGGGGTGATCCTTTAGGCTAAAAAATTTAGGACCCCCCATCTTGTCTTTATATCAATTATTTGCGTTAAACAATGAACTTCCCAAATTCCTCGTTTTCTTGTCTTTGATCACATAGACTAGTTCATGTAATTGAGTTCGGTCGGGACCCATAGTTGTGAACCTCGAAGAGTTCCTAACACCTTCTCTTAGAGATAATTTCGAGACCTTACCCGATCTTTGGTGACGCAGACTAGTCCAAACACAGTTATCTGCAAAATAGGTTCCCTAACGCACCTCAAACCCGTTAGGTGGCGACTCTCTCTTTATAAGACCTTCCTTAAAAGAGTTGTCACATGTTGAAACCCGATTTTGCATGAAAAAGGGGCGCGACAGCATGGCGACTCTGCTGGGGATTTTTTAGGCTCTTACCATAAGTGAACTTGGTTTATATGAATTAGTCTACTCTGATAAGCGTGCCTTTATTATCTTTGCTGTTACATGAATATCCCACTCCCATTTCCTTTTTATTTGCTACCTGTACACCCTTTTCCCCGCTTTCCCTTTATTTGAACTCACATGCAAATTTTTGCTTAATTTGGTAATAACATGCGCTTTCCTTTAGACATTTTTAGAATTGCTACATCATGTCTCTCCCCGCCCTCACTCCCTTATCTACTTTACCCCAATTTTCACATTGCGGGAACTAACTTCTTCCTTGTTTTCCCTTCTTTGTCTTTACGTTTCATTCAATACTGCATTTACTGCTTTCAACATGCAAAATATTTGACAGCGTGTTGTTTTATCTTTGCATAAATCATGCTCCACACCATATTCACTCGCGCGTATTTAATACCATAGCGGCATTTGATGAGTGTTCGCGCTCTTCCTAAATCAGCTTTTTAAATTTGGAAAGGCTTATTTGCGGTAAAACTAGTCGATCAATGGTGCAGTTGACGGTTCTGTGCCTTTCCCTCTCAAGTTGTCCGCTTGAGGGTACCGGTCTAGACTCTTATAGAAACCCCCATTCTAATATTAACTGTGCATGCATCATGTCCAAACCTACTATGAGTTAGAATGAAATCCGCGTAATAACTCGCTAAGTCAAGCCTTGTCCAAAGTCCGCCGGGATTTCTATAATCCCAATGGACTCAATCAGGATCTGTGCATTATTTGTAGAAAACATGCCAATACATTGATCATTAACGTGTAAATAGCCAAATCTAGAGGGGGGAAGGGCTACTTCTATTTGTTTGCAGAGATGAGGAACGAAGTCCCCAGGTTCGACATGGTTCGAAATATTCCACCTTTGCTGCTAGATTGGTGAGAAAATCTTCGGCCAAGTGACAAAAACCATGTGAAAAGAGTCCTCGGAAATTTACCCTCTATGTTAGACATTCAGTCCAAACAATGCATTAGTCGAGGCCGCTACTATGTTCCGGGATAAGAAGAGAGTCATTTTCCGTTTTGGTGACATAGAAATGACTCCCCTTTTGGAAAAAGTAGGAGGTTTCGCTGGGCTCCTGTGGGATAGTCCTAGTTTGTTGGTACCAGAAAACTGCACTCCTCAAGATTTCTTGAAAATGATGGGTTTCATGAAAAATAATGATTTAGTCTGTTTGAAGAAGTCTTATATACCATTCGATTTCCTCTATGAGCGTTATGGACACAGCAAGTCATACCGCATGTATCATGATGAGTTTGCCATCACTTTTTTGGGTTGGACTCACCGCTGAGTTTTTGTATTCATTGTCTGTTTTTTGGGGATGCTGGTATTTCAAATACAAGGAGAAAGGATCCACACTTGCCTAGCTATGGTCACTAAGGCTTTAATGGCGGGGATTGAGGGGAAAACTTACACTATTGCCCTTATGATTCTGGCTGATATATATCGGGCTTTAGATCGTTGCATAAAGGTATAGACATTTAGAGGGTTGCAATCTTTTGCTGCAAGTAAGGTTGTTGGAACACCTTCAGAGGGGAGAATACCACCAAGAATTTCCGCGACGACCATAAAATGACCACATAGCCTATCACCATCCGAAGAGAATGACATTTATCCCAAACAGGTTTGCGCAACCGGAAAACGCTGTGACCTGGGCACACTTCTTCAACAATCTGACAGATGACAAGGTACATTTGATGTTTTAGTTGTTCCCTAGCAGTGAATTCATCATCAGGTCCAGAGATACTCCTCATCTAGCGCTAATCGGATTGAGGGCGCTCTATCCTTATGCTCCTATCAGAGTTATGAGGCAAGTTGGGAGAAAACAGGTTATACCATAAGTTTCCATAATGGTTCAATACAAAGCAGACTTCCAGGGGAACTCCATTCCATTAAAGTTCGAGGCACAACATATGTGGCATCAAAATATCATTGTAGAGAAAGATACCATAGAGCCAAAGTGGTATCATGCCGGCCATGTGCACTTATATCCGTCATGGTTAGTAGATGATATAGCAGGGGATGTCAAGCCAGGGATTAATCTGAATAATAGGGTTGTAGACAATGCTGCTGAAGCACAAGTCAAATACAGTTTGTTGCACAAAAGGGTTTTCGAGTCTGAAGCCAGGCATTTGGAACAACATAAACCGGATATGGAAGCAATCAACGAGTAGAGAGAAATCGCTACTACGTCAACAAAGTGGTTGGAATATTTGGAGCAGGGGTTGATGGAGCTTGAAGGGAAGATGAGAAACAGGGTGTAGGCTGTCAAAACACGGATGGCAATGAAGGAGGGCTCCTAGCAAGGGCGTATCTGCTTCTGGACATGCGCGACCTGGGGAATCTGGTCGATCGAGCAAAGAAGGCGAAGCATGGAGAAGGTCCATCTGGGATCAAATAAATTAGGAATTATGTTTTACTTTCTTTCTAGACTCGTTTTAGGCTTTGGTTGTAATAAGGCAAATGCCATTAGTGACTCTTTCATCATTATTCTCATTTTAGTAGAAATTTTGTTAATTTATTGGCATCGATTTTCTTCAAATATATATGTCGCTTAGGCCTACCTTGGGCACAACGAGGTCCCCCAATTAGGATGCGAATTTGCAATACCGCAATATATGTTTAAATACCGCAAACATCCTTTTAATACTCCTTACTGACATGTTTACATTTTTCGTTTTTCTTCTTTTCTTTATTTGTTTATTCCCATCCCCTAAGGTTGGTTCGTGCATAATGGCATCATCAGCATATCATACCAGATCTAGAGGTCCTCCACCTCCTCCTGCTCCAAGTGATCCTAAAAGCAAAGGAAAAGCCAGAATGGATCATACAAGCAATATCAGAAAAGACAACGCTACGCATGAGGAGAATGTCAAGACTTTGGATGGTCGGAGAACTCCGGCACAATATGACTTGGTTTTACTGTTGGAACAAAGGACACTGGAACTACAAGGGGAACTTGAGCAGGTCCCGAACTTGGCAAACCTTTCCCTTACCCTGAACGTCCCCGATGTCAACCAACAAAATGCCCAAAACCCTGCACCTCCCTAGAACACAAAAAAACAAACCAAATCATCCCGCACCCCATCAATATGCCACACCTCCTCAAGATCCTAATCCTCCACTAGTACCTACTCCTCCGCAGCATCATCACCACCCAACTCAATACCCGCAAACCACCAGCTACCACACTCCTCAAAACACACCACAACCTACCCCTGATCCCCAAAAATCAACCAACAACCATCACTACGCCCAAATTCCTGGAGTCCATCAAAGCAACCCCATATATGTGGAAATCATGCCCCACACTCCACAAAAAACCTTATACATACCCGAATCTGCCGAGAAGGACCTGCTCATCAAGAACATGGAGGAAGAACTTAAGAAACTTACTAGTCGAGTCCAATATGTTGAAGGTGGCAAAGGCATCAAAGGTCTGAATTATGAGGATTTATGTATTCAACCAAACGTAGAACTACTAGAGGGTTACAAACCTCCCAAGTTCGAAATGTTTGACGGAACATGTGATCCAAAGGTACATTTGAGAACATATTGTGACAAGCTCGTAGGGGTTGGTATATACGAAAGAATCCGCATGAAGTTGTTCATGAGGAGCCTCACCGGAGACGCCCTGTCCTAGTACATCAGTCAAAACCCGAAGAAATGGGTTAACTGGGTTAGCATGGCGTCAGATTTTATGGATCAGTTCAGGTTCAATACAGAAAATGCGCCTGATATCTTCTACATTCAAAATCTTAAGAAGAAGCCAATAGAAAATTTTCGCGAGTATGCCACCCGATGGAGATCAGAAGTGCAAAAGTAAGGCCAGCACTTGAAGAAGAATAAATGAACAAGTTCTTCGACCGAGCTCAGGATCCACAATATAATGAGAGTTTTATGGTTCTTGAAAACCATAAATTTTCCGACATCATCAAATTGGGAGAAAGAATAGAAGATGGAATTAAAAGCGGGATGGTGGCCAATTTTGAGGTCCTCCAAGCTACAAACAAAGCCTTGCAGTCAGGAGGTATATTTAAAAGGAAAGAAGTTTATGCAGTAATGGTAGCCGAAGGTCCGAAATCTCCTCTTACATACCAAACCCTACCGCCACACATCAGCCTTCACCCCCCCAGATATCAACAACCCGCTGCCACCTACCATACTTATAACACTCAACCAGCATATTACCATTCCCACCACTAGCCCGCCAAAATTACCAAAAACCTAGACCAAATTTTGACTGTAGACCACCCAGACAATACACTCCCATTGCTGAAACCATCGATCAGTTGTATGAGAGATTGAAGGCTGGCGGTTACATCACTCATATTCCCGCCGTTGCCATGGAAAACTCCTCCCAGTGGGTTAATCCAAAAAAGACATGTGCCTATCACTCGGGTATGAAGGGTCATACTATTGATAAATGTCGCAGTTTGAAGGATAAGGTCCAGACGCTGATTGATACCAAGGTTATACAAGCAAAGGAGGTCGCACCAAATTTTTACAACAACCCTTTGCCGAATCACAAGGGTGAGGGGGTTAATATGATCAAAATTGATTAAAAATGGGATCTGGAAGGATCAATTGGACTTATCCGTGAAGGGGACGAACCCAAAATACCCCCAGTCACTCTCACACCTATTATAATGCAGATTCAGTCGCCAATTGAGGTTTAAATAGCCACGCCAACTCCGTTTGAGGTTAAAGCAACAACGCCCTCAGCCGAACCAACCTCATTTGAGGTGGAAGTAACCACACCTTTCACTGTGACGATAGCACCTAACCCCTCTTATCACCCTAAAGCTATACCATGAGACTACGCTGTAGAGAGGAAAAGGAAAGGAAAGGGGAAAATGGAAGAACCCAGTCCAGCACAAGGTATGACAAGGACCGGTAGGGTTTACACGCCCGAGCATTTGGGAGGAACAAGTAAAGAAGCCACTCCCAAGCTGCCTATGATTGAAAGCTGGCCCGGATGATCTTTGGAGAAAGGTGTACGCAAGAGAGTATTCTATGGTTGATCATCTGAACAAAATCCCTGCTCAGATATCCATTCTATCACTACTACAGAATACTGAGACGCATAGGAACGCATTGATAAAAGTATTGAATGAAGCCTATGTACCCAATAATATCACTATTGGAGAAATGGCTAATATGGTGGGACAGGTGTTGGAAAGCCACAAGATCACTTTTCACGAAGACGAGCTGCCGCCCGAAAGATAAAGTCACAACAGGGCACTGCATATCAAAGTATAATTTGAGGACAATTTCATTGCCAGAGTCCTAATAGATGGGGGTTCGAGTATCAACATTTGTCCATTGACTACTTTGAACAGGTTGGGTAACGGTTTGCATAAGATACAAGCAGGAAATATGAACGTGAAAGCATTCAATGGGTCCCAAAGGGCCACGATTGGGGATATCATTATATGCTTACAGATGGGCCCGACTTGGTTTGACGTTGAATTTCAAGTATTGGACATATCCGCCACATACAATCTATTGTTAGGATGATTGTGGATACATACTGCTAGGGCTGTAGCCTCTACGCTACACCAGGCCGTGAAGTTTAAATGGAATCATCAGGAAGTAATCATTCAGGGGGATGGAACTAATCCCATTTACACCAATCAAACTATTCCGGTTGTCAAGAACAGAAGGAAGTTGGGTGGAGAATCGTACCATCGCGTCGAGCGTGTCAATGCAATTGAGAAAGACAAATGGTGGAGTAATAAGATTGAAAGCATATTGTCTTGGACAGGGTATGAACCCGGCAGGGGTCTCGGCAAGAATCTGCAGGGGATCACCAAACTGATACATTTAAAGCGTCACGGCACAACTTTTGCGCTTGGGTATGAATATACCTGGCACGAGTATCAGAATTGGTCGCCACCATGGCGTGGTCCTTATTACCCGCTTAAACAGTCGATACCGCATCTACACCAGACATTTCAACAGGCTGACGTGATATGGGGATCTGAAGAAAATGAGGCTTTAGTTGGCCTAAGGAATCTATTTCTGGATGATGAAGTCATGGACTGCAATGCAATAGTTGAGGAGGAGGAGGAGGAAGACCTTACAATTCAGATCGTGGGAAAGGGAGTTGTTCTCAAGAACTGGACTGCTGCACCATCTCGGGCCTGTCGAGTTCCTAGGTATCCTCGCAATTAGCATGATCTATTTTTAAAAGCAATTTTCAGCATTAAGACATTTTTCAGTATTTTGTTTTAGACGTATTTTGTTTCAAAATAATTGCTCGAGTCATCGAGCCGTATTCGTTTTAATGTTTTCAAGATTTATCTAGTGCATTCGTATTTTAGTATTTATTATTATTCTTTACAATTTCTCTCCACAACATTAGTATTACTTATCCTGATGAACCGACGGCTGTGACATGTAATGAGACAACACAACATAAGGATAGTGATTCAGAGGAAATAGAAGAAGAAGAAGATACAATACCTGAGGAAATTGTCAGAGAAGTGGAGAATTTTGAGAACAAGCCTAAGTCCAATTTGGACGAACCGAGATAGTCAATTTGGGAGATTCTGAAACAGTAAAAGAAACTCGCATAAGCATTCACCTGTCACCGTCAGAGAAAGAAGATTACACCTGTTTTCTAAAGGAGTATGAAGATATTTTTGCGTGGTCTTATGATGATATGACTTGTTTGAGCACGTCTATAGTGGCTCACAAGTTACCCACCGATCCCATGTGCCCGCCAGTGAAACAGAAGCTCAGAAAATTC